TAGAGAGATAGAGAGAGAGAGAGAGAGAGAGAGAGAGAGAGAGAGAGAGAGAGAGATTTTTTATTACATGATTAAATTATGTGTAGCTCCTGGTATCCCTAAATATAATACCTTGTTGTTCGTTCCGTTCTTGGGCTAAATTTATGCTCAGCCTTTGAAGGCTCACGCGTTGGGGAAAAGTTGACAGAAAGCGTCTGGCCGCAATAGGGGGAGAAAGGCCTAGTTAGAAACACAGAAGCTTGAACCCTTCGTTAATTGGTACTATCCGCTCTACCTTGAAACGATTCAGGTGACATTTGCGTGTACACTACACACGCTGATATAATGCAAACGACCCAGAAAAGACAAGGGAGTGGGTGGGGGGAGGGGGGCAGAGTGATGTGGAAGAGATGCAAACGGCTCAGAAAAGGAAGGGGAGGGTGGAGGTAGAAGAATATTTCCCCTGAATTTCTTGGGATACTGATGGAAAGCAAACACACCTACGACTTCACACACAAAGGCACGCAGACCATTTCTTTCGTCCAGAAGTCCCCATTTGACACTCATTCACGTACAAGGAAGAATGAGTACATGAATGGACGAACGAGCGAATCAGTGAATGGACACACACACTTGTTGAGAAATGAAAACATGGAAAATTTAGGCCAAATACTATCCCTGGAAACGATCTGAATAGCTAAAATTCTTTCACTTAAGAATGTATTTATTTGTATCATGATCCTTAATTTAGTGTGTCTGTCTGTCTGTCTGTCTGAATGCCAATCTCTATGTCCTCTATTTTTACCATCAACCCAAAAAAACAAACAAAACAACCAACGGATGTCTTGTCTGGAACCATTCTCCTGTGACTCAACAAACCCACAAGAATATCTTATTAAAAAAATTCCTTATTCTTGAGTCTATGTCGACTACGTTACTTACAGTGTATCCGAACTTGTGTTTTTCCACCACAGTTTGTTCTTTTCTGATCCAGTGTCCATCACAGTATCCGACACAGTCATGTATGGTTCAGAACACCGCCAGAGCTTTGCGCCGGGCATGTTGTCAAGGTAAGCAACCGAAACTAGGCTCCTTTATTTAATTTTAGAACTAATTTTGTTTTCAATTGTTATTATATTGACATGAGACTTGGCAAGGAAGAATGATTCACCATCCTGCGCTATAAACTTGTAACAGAAAGTCTGCCATCTTAAACATCATTTGTAAATAGCCCAAACTATAATATGTATGTCACATACACGTATTTCCATAAATATCATCACGCACATAAATCCAGGAGATTATTATAGCCTACCGTAGGGTAGGTAAGGGTTCGAATCTATGTTTGGTCCAAATCGTTTGTCTTTTCCTAAAGAAAACTTCCTCGCTTAGCGATTGAACTTACGTCGTCTGTGTGCCACTGTGATTAAGAAGCCAAACCATCATTTCAGAGATGTCAATATAGATGACTTTGTGTGTTGTTATCCAAGAAATGTAAGGAATATATTTCTCTCATATATTAGGCAAGCGAAAGAGAGAAAAGAAGGAAGAGGGATGGATGATAAGGATAAGTGATAAAAAAAATGTATTTGAATAAATTGCACAAACGTACTAGACATATGTCTGTTCTTTTCTTGTTAGTTGTATCAACGAACGAGTCACTTCGCCAGCCCAACTCTCTGAACAATGTGGGCAGTGAACCACGGGCTCCACCTCTTGTCAATGAAGTTCCCATAAAACTTGATCTGAAAGCACGTAAGTTGATGTCCCTTTTTTTCTTCTTAGTATCAGCAGTTGTTCTTGTTGTTGATAGGGCTGCTGGTGTTGTTGTCGGAATGTTGTTGCTGCTGCTGCTGCTGCTGCTGCTGCTGTTATTACTACTATCACTACAGCTTCTACTTTTTTCTGCTACTGTTGTAGTTGAGGATCTTTCTCTCCATCGCTCCATCGTTCCCTCGCCCCTCTTCCTTGTTTTGTCTTAGTTTCCGTAAATTTTCTCCTTCCACCTTTCCCACCCTCTAATCATGTTCTGTCGTCTGCTTTCGTCTCCTCTTTTTTCCAGTAATTATTCATTTTATAGTAAGTCTCTATGTACCTATTTAAGAGTTAAAAGAGAATGAAATGGTAGTACTGTTAGTACCTTTGGTTTTTCTAACTCCCTACAAGTCTCCGCTGTTGCATATTTATCAATTACACCTATTTTACTCATGTAGAATCAGAAATGGCGATTGGCCTACTTTAAGGTAATAGGCCAGTTTCATTTGTCAGTGCTCTATACGAATATTCCATTTTTTATCGTATCAAACACGTCACTGCGAAGCCTAATCACTTAACTTGTCCATCGAAAAAGGAAGGGTGGGGGGGGGGGTGTAGGAAGAAGGAAAGATGGTGTTACACCACAGCAGACACCACACGAGTACATCGGCTGTGATTTCATCTTTGAAGGGTGTGTTGTATGTCCTTTACACCAGAACATGTCGGCATCTGTGGCCCAGTGATTAGGCTCTTCCCCATTGCACGCAGAAGACCTGAGTTTGATCCCTGTGTGGAGAGAATTGACCAAATGTGAGGCAGCGTGGTGGAATCCGGCTCTCGTCAATTTTTGGGCATATAGAGTTATTGGTATCATCTTAAAGCTTGTTCACTTGTCTTCATTTGTATACAAGTTAAGATATTTGCGAATGAAGGAGGAAGGGGTCACCTGCTTTCAGAGGTAAAATTAGTGAGAAAATGGCTGCCAAAGTTTAGTTATTTCCTTAGCTTAAGAGTCCGTAGTAACTGAAAAATTTACATTTTGGTGCCTTTAATCAACGTTTTTAAGAAAAATCCACACAAAAATGAGTTCTATAATGGGCACGAAAGGTGTTGAGCCAAAAAACAAAATTTTGATAAAAATTTACAAACCTGCAGAAAAATGCCAGTTTCTTCACTTTGATTATTTTGACGAGAGCCTGATTCCACCACGCTGCCTCACAAATAGACTGCCTCGGTCTTTCTGCTGGGATGTTGTATCCCTCTCAGCCCAGGTTGGCCCTGACAGGCAGGGTAGAAGCCCGCCGGCCATACTATCTGAATTGTATCATGGGGGTTTAAGACAACTTCATTTTTTTTTTTAATTGAAAAACCACAAGAACCCACAGGAGGGCAGCTTTGCCTCCTTGCACTAATATCATCTCAATCTACTTTTGGGGGTTGGAGGTCGGTATGGCGGCAAGTAGTAAGACCGTTATATTTATCCTTATTTTCTCACTCTTGGTGGGAGCTTTTGGCTACTCTTATGCCTTGTTGCTAGAGAGAGGGGGGAGGGGGAGAGAGAGAGAGAGAGAGAGAGAGAGAGGGGGGTATCAGAGGGTTGTTGGGGGGGGGGTGGGGGGGGGGGGGAGGTAAGAGTGAATAAAAAGAAGAACTACTTTTCTCTTTTCTTAAGTCCTACAATTGTTGCCAATTTGATGTTTTCTTATAAGAAGGTTAAATAAAATCAACATTTTTACTCATTATTTCTCTAAGAACGTGCCTGCGCTTACGGCAAAGTGTCCCTCAGCTCACGCATCTATGGTGGAAACAGTATAGAACCGGGAGAGTTTCCTTGGATCATAATGTTGGTACGAAACGACACATTCATCTGTGGGGGCTCCATAGTGGATGCCACCCACATCATTACAGCAGCACACTGTTTTAAGGGGTAAGTGTTTCTAATACTCTTCGTATTTTTTTTATATTTGAGAGCTGACCCGTCACCACCTTGGCCGTTTTTTTTAAATAGTTACTAAGACCATGCCCCTCGACGCTTAACGGCAACAGAGGATGAAAAAGAAAAAGAAAAAGAAAGAAAAGAACTAAGACCATGAGGTCGGAAAACAACAATGAATGTTCTCTCTGCTCTATCAGAATCGTAAGATTATCACGAGTCGTTATCAAGATTTGATAATTTGAGGAAGAATAGGGCGGATAGCGGTTCCCACACTCTAGGGAGACTGAAGGAGAAGGGGATCCAAAGAGGAGAGGGGAAACACAGCCATCTGTGCGGACCAGTCCGACGGATCTCCAACCAGATCATGATGGAAACTATAAGTAGACAGACTCTGGGATAGATCCTGAAGAGGGGGGGGGGGGGAGAGAGGAGATGGACATGTTCCGACTGCAGTGACCCCAACACAGTGGACAAGTAAGGACAAGTAAGTTATCAAGATACTCAACGAATTGCATTCGAAAAAGCTTGTCTTGCCGTAAAACTCGATGTTTTTTAAACGTCTTATTTCTCAAAGCTAGGTACTGAGCAGATAGAGCTGTACTTTGTCTTTGATCCTTAACAATCGATATTAACCCCTTCACTGTTACGGCGACGTAGGGCTCATGTCTCCTCTGTGTGCTTTGAGTGACAGTATTTCGGGCGACTCTTAACGTACATGTATTTTTAATGTGTCAGAGTCAGATGGTATACATACCCCATCCCTCTCCCCCACCAACAACCAACCCCCACCCTTTCCCCAAACCCTCTCCCTTCTATTCCCCAACCCCTTCACCCCTCCTACCCTTTCCCCAACCTCTCCTCCCCTCCTCCAATTCCCCTAACTCTTCTCACTCCACCCTTCCCAAACCCTCACTCCATTGCCTCGTCCTCTTAAATTCCTCTCTCCTCCCCTCCTCCGATTCCCCCAACTCTTCTCACTCCACCCTTCCCAAACCCTCACTCCACTGCCTCGTCCTCTCGAATTCACAACTCCCCATCCTACCAGTAACTTTTTGCCACATAATCCGAGCACATGTTAATAGAAGACAACCTGCGCAATATGCCAGCATCTGGTCTGCTTTTAATTTACAGGTCTTATTTTTGCACATTAAGATGTCTTTTTGTAATCACTGAAGGTAGGGTATTAGGTTTTCTTGACTTAACCCTGCAAGTTCGAATCGCTGAGAGAGAAAATAGTTCGGTGGTGTGCAGGGTTTTATAAACACAAAGGTCGTCTCTGCGGGATCAGCTCTCTGTCCCTTTCGTTGTGGGACTGAGAGTATTGACGGTCAATAGGCTGTCGGTGGAGAGGGGACAACGACGATACCAAACTCATCAAAGCAAACAAAAAAGTAGCCTGCAATAAATAGTTTATTTGATCCCTATAAACTAAAATTCACGAAACGCAGGAATGCACTTTCACTCGAAGACTTGCTTCATCACTCATTTCTCGAGCCTGGCAGAGAGGGGGTTAAGTGGTTCCCCTTGGAACTCCTCAACCAATTAATGTGCTGTGTTGATGTTTTTGTTGTTGCTGTTGTTCTTGTTGTTCTTGTTGATGATGATGATGATGATGATGATGATGATGATGATGATGATGATGATGATGATGATGATGATGATGATGATGATGATGATGATTGTTTGTTTGTTTGTTTTTTGTCAACTTTTTTTAACGACCACACTTTTGCTGAATTCGGCAGTGACATGGAAATCCATATTATTTGATAATGCCACTCAGATATTTCTTTTCTATTTTGTCCTTTGAGTATAACAGAGGGGGGAAGGTGGTCTCTCATTTTATAGTTTTAAAGGCGATGTATTGATGTACTGACTTTGTTTTTCTCTCAACCCTTTTTCAGGTATAATCCTGCAATACATCGCTTCAGGGTAATGGCAGGAAAGTATTCCTCGAATGTCCAGGAAACAGAGGAACATCAGCAAACGAGAGATGTGACTTCGTTCGTCAAACACGAGCTCTACTCGGTCCGCCTTAAGTGTAAGAGAAATGGCTACGGATATTCTTCACAGAAGAAGAAGAAGAAGAAGAAGAAGAAGAAGAAGAAGAAGAAAAAGAAGAAGAAGAAGAAGAAGAAGAAGAAGAAGAA